ATTCAGTTTCTGGTCAGGATTCTCTTCTGAGTTTGCAGTCAATGTTCTTCCTGTCATCTTGCTGTGTCCACACATAGCTTGCCCACTCGTTCTCCTCCTTTTCCTTATAGAGTCACTAATCACATCTCGGGAGTCCCATTTTCATGACCTCATGTAACCTTAATTATCATCCAAAGGATCCCTCTCCAAATACTACTACACTGGGGCTTAGAGCTTTAATGTATGAATTTGGGGGTGGGGCAGTTTGACACAATTCAGTCCATAGCACTTTGCCTGTAAGTTTTACTTTTGCTTTCACCTCCTCACCCCCATGGCAGGGGAACTAAACCAGAAAAAGACTATTTGACTATTCTAGGCTCCAGTACTAAAATGATTTGGGAGTGTCATATTCCAGAGATCCTAGAGCACAAACAGGAGTGGGGAGGAATAAGAGGTTAAGTCACTGGGGGGACCTGAGATGAGTCTGTGTCTTAGCCTTGGATGGTTTTATATGCAGTGTCTATACGTTAAAGTCCTAGGCAATGTTTGGTACCAAGATTCATGCTTCTGCAGCTACCCCAAACTGACAGTAGCTCTAATGCTCCAGTTGGCATGTTTTGCGTGGATTATTTTCACTGGGCAGAATCTGAGCTTCCTACTACCACTATCTTCTGCCAGTCACATGCCAAGTGGATCTAGGACTTCAGGCCCAATCCCTGCTTTGCATTTGTAGTCCATAGACATGTTAATCTTTGTTCTCTTTTTTGTTGTTAAATTATTTTCTATTTTTATATACCTTTTTTGCCACATCATTACAGCTCCTCTGAAGGAATGACTTCTCAATGTCATCCTGACCAGGAGTCTCAAGATCCATAATTAGAAGTACAGTTGACCCTTGAGGAATGTGGGCTTGAACTGTGAGAGTCCACTTATATGTGGATTTGTTTTCAACCAAACATGGATCAAAATGACAGTATTTGTGGGATATGAAACCTGAGCATAGGGAAAGCCAACTTTTCCTATGCGAGTTCACAGGAGCTGACTGTGGAACCTGAGTATTTGAGGATTTTGGTATATGCAGGGGTTCTGGAGCCAATTCCCTGTGTATACCATTGGACTTTTGCCAGCATTATAAGTAATTGAATACTTTTTATAAACTACACTCTCGTATTTCATGTTGTATAAAATGAAGATTTGAAATTTTTCTAATGAACATTTCATATTCTCAGAACAAATATAACTTGATATCCAATTAGTTAGTTATGCAGATAAATAAAAATTAATGCTTCTACACCTCATGAGGTACTTGGTCTAGTGCCTGGCAGAGTTTTTGAATAAAAACTGGGGTGCATATTCTGTTTGACTAGGCAAGAGATTTCTAGCCAACATGATGGTGTCTCTTCTTTCCTTTGACTAAAGGTAGAACAGTTCATCAAATAGTACACTAAAAGGAGGCCCTATATGGTAAATAAATGCAAGTTTGAAATATGGATAAAGGTTACCATTAGTGGCACTGCCACATCATAAAGCCATTGGTAGGATTATCCTGGAGCAGCTGCCAAATACTTTAAAACATAGTAGTTGAGTAGGGGTACTGGTTTACACCTGTAATCTCAGCAACTAGTGAGGCTGAGGAAGGAGAATGACTTGAGGTCAGGAGTTCAAGACCAGCCTGGGCAAACATAACAAGATCTTATCTCTAGAAAAATTTTTTTTAAAAAAATTAGGCGGGTGTGTGGTGGCTCATGCTTGTAGTCCTAGCTACTTGGGTGTGTGAAGCACAAGGATACTTTAAGCTCAGCAGTTATAATCATAACTCACTGCAGCGAATTATGATCCATGCTACTGCACTCCAACCTGAGCAACAAGAGAAACTGGTTTATTTTTCCTTCAAGAGATGATGTAACTAGTCATAACACCAAAACAATAAAATTTGCTTCAAACAAAAAATCCCAAGAAGTTCATTTAACACTAAATCTTATTTTTAAATGGCCTTTTCAAGATCTTAGAAAAATAGCAGAGAAAACATCAATTCAGATACATTTAAGATAGAACTTGAGGCTTGCAAAAATCATAAACATTCAACTAGTTACCATTCTAAAAGCATTCATTTTTCATATCTCTTATCTAGATGAAGCTTTGAAAATGATTTTTGGCTACTGGTCCTAGAAACATGGTGTAGCATAAATAAACCCAACTGCTGGAAGGTAATGATACTAACAGTTCCTTCTTAGGAAATTTGGCTTATGAGCTTCACAGGAGAAAAAATTGAATTTTTTTTCTAACTTCTTAAAAAAATGGTGTTAGGTTGGCATTGTATGTTTACATTTAGGCTTAATGTATGAAACTTGAGTTCGGTTGACAGAAACTTATACTTCTCAGACAGCACTTGAAGGTTTAGCAAATATTTATTTTTCATCTAAGTTGAACCAAATAGAAAATATACATAATGGTACAGTTAAACTATGTAGTGCATAGTGGCAGATCCATGTTATAGTGAGAAATACATTGTCAATGGTCCCTGGAGCTTGTTACCAGATAAGTCGCATGGCTTACAGTCAGTGAAAAAAACAATATGGCAATGCTGTTGTGGACCCAGCCAAGAAATTAAAAGAATACCATACAGACAAGAATTCCCCAATACAGTGCTCTAGCTTATAACTAAGCCATTTAAACACAAACAGAATACATTCAATTTATAATGAAAGCCAAAATATAAAGCTATGCTTCCAGGAAAAGAAAAATAAACATACTAGCTTAAATAACACTGCTACAATTCAGAGTGTTTGTGGAAAATCTATTATTTATATCTGATTCAAATGCAGCAGTCGTTGGCCTGGAAAAATGAGTACTTCTTTAAAATATAACTCAGGTACTATACTTCGCTGTGAGAAAAAGAACACGGACTCCTTATTTGCATCATAAGTGTGGCATTTTTCTCCTGGAATCTGAAATATTTATATAATACCAAGTAGTTTTCATAATGTATTTGTCAGGCTAATGATGTCATGAGGCAGTTCATTTTTAAGGACAACAGCTGCTGTGTTTGTTTCATGCTTAACACCAACACTCAAAATGACTTATTGTATTTTACAAATTTTACAAACGTTCATAATCACTACGAAGATTTACAAAACCCTAAGCCCTATAGGAAATATTAGACACTCAGTAAAAACATGCTAGGTATTTAAAGTAACTTTGAAAAGTAACATAACTCTAAAATACATATATGGAATTGCCACTTACTAAATAGGCAAAGACTTTGTTCCCTTTTTTTTCTAGGGCTCTTACTAGTGTTTCTATTTTTAATCCCTATTTCTCCAAGTCAATTGCTTTTGGACTGAAATATTCAGTAATTAACACAAAAGAAAAAAAGCAAAGTAGAATGTTAAACATGGAAGAGACCTCACAAATCATGAAGTAAAATCCCTTTTAATTGTAATCCTGCTTGCTCACAAATCTGGTTCTCTAGCTCAATGAGTGACACTTTTGAGAAAGGAGGTGAACCCTGTTTTTTGCCAAGGCTCATTCTATTCACAGGTCGTCTCCCTTAACAGAATAACAGAAGCAGGAGACTGATGCTATATGGAGGCGCCCCTTCAAGTTTAGGGTGGGTGGTTGTGATTTTTGCTCAGCTGTGCGTTCCTAGAGGGCAGGATTCCTCTCCTTCTCCAAGTTCATGTTTGGGGACAATGCGGTGGGGTCCAAGGCAAACTCTTAATCCCTCCAAGTCTTGAAGGTGCCTAAGTATGTGCCCTTCCGGAGTTCAAGGATAATCCATTCCTTTGTAATTTTCCAAGCCTGGGCATTTCTCAAAAGTGATTTTGAATTTGAATTCTAACCCCAGATAGAACAAAAGACTGGCAGTATGTTTTCGTGGTATGTTTTCAAATTGTCAAGGAAGACAGAGGAACGTAGGCTGACTAGTTTGACAGGGCAACGCAGATTTAAAATACGTGGTGTGTACATGTTGGTGGGGGAGGAGAGACTGAGGAAATGAATACTGCAGGACATGGGACATAACCTTGAAAACTGCTAGTGCTCTCTTGCTGTGTGTGTCTCTCTCCCCTCCTCTCGACTTCCCTGGTTCTCTTAAGCTTCTGCTATAAACAGGCAGGTAGCACGATATGAGAGAGATGCATACACTCATATTATTCTGTACTTAATCATATATGTAATTTAGTGCTTTCCCTAAATTGTGAACCTGAGTCCTCAGAATTTTATCAGGTTATTTTCAAATCGGCATCTTCATAAGCTTTCTTTGGGTTAAATTTATTTTCCCAGAACGAATTTTAGCATTTTATGTTGAAATATTTTTCTGGTTAATAGCTTATTTTAGTCAAATGGCTTTTTTGTGCATTTAATCCTTAAGACTTGTGTCTTAGAAAAGTTCTTTTCCTCAGCCTTATTGCTTCAATTACCAAATATTTAGTTCCCAAATGACATTGTTACAACCATTAACTACTTGTCTGTGTTATGATTAACAGGATAACTGCTTGTGCCTTGTCCTTTTCTGTTATTAAGTAAGATACACGACAAAATCCTGCTTTTCTTGTATTAATGGAAGCATATTTTCAATAAATTACATGTCATTGATTTATCTGTTCACTTCAAGTATTGCAGACATAAAGTTTGCTACTCTCATCTGTGTTTATGGTTGTATTTCTCCAAATTAAGCAGGATTTTACTGAAATACAGTCCTTAAAAATAACTTACTGTTTTCAATTGCTGTTGGTGGGCAGCAATGACCTCCGGTGGATACTTAGGCAAATAGCAAGCAGGTTTTTTTCAGAGGATGTCAGCATTCAATACATTTTGTATTTGTTAGATCTTTTGGTATTTGACTTATCTGAATAAACTTTTAAAATATATTTATGTTAATTTTAGAATGAAATTACAAACTATTAAAAGTTGTCAACACTCTACCTTAATTGTATGGCCTATAGCGGGGTGGGGAACCTGCAGCCTTGGGGCCACGTGTGGTCTTCTGGATGCTTGAGTGCAGCCTTTTGACTGAATCTAAATTTTACAGAACAGATCCTTTTATTAAAAAAGAATAAGTTACTTTAATACAGGGATTTGTTCTGTGAAATTTAGATTCAGTTGAGGGGCTGTGCTTGAGGATCTTGGAAGGCCACATGTAGCCTTGAGCTAACTATAAAAAATGAAACATTTAAAATTAACATCTAAATTATTTGTAATTTTGTATATAATCCACTTGCTTTCAATTTTTACTTAAATGAAAAAATCTCATGAAAATATCACTTTAGAAAGGTAATTATTAAATACTTAAAATAGAAGAAAAGACTTCAAGAAATATTCTCAAATACAAAATTTTGGTAATATTCATAATAGAAAGGTAAAAATACTCTGAACATCTCAGTAGTTAAGTGAACTCATAATTTTCCTGTCTGTAAATATAGAGAAGAAAATTTGGTCTCTGATAGCAAATACTTTAATATTTTTTTCATAAATAAACCGTTTCTATGTCTTTTAGATTTCAGGGAAGATGTTAGAAATGTAAAATTTTAAGCTTTAGTAGATCTTCAGTGCTACAAACTCATTTCTGACTTGTGAGATAATAATCTATAAACAGAATACCTTCGTATTAAAGCTTGACATAAGCTTTAACAATTTTTTTAAAATTTCAGTTAACTTTTTCTGAAAATGGACTAGATGTATCATCTACTGATCAGTTTTCAAATCTTTCCTAGGCAGTTGTATCTGTAGAAGAAAAGGAAATGTATGAGAATATACTTTTTCTACCACAAGAGGGCAGCAAAAATCGTTTACAGTAGTTGCAATTAGTGTAACTCCGTCTGATTTGACTGACTTTGGCATCTTTCTGAGAAGTTACCTTGGCTTCATTCTTTCCTCACTGGAGTGAAATTTAAAGGATGTGTTTTTGTTATGAAACTATAATATTATGAATGTGATTTTATGAATGTTTTATGAAAGGCACAAGCCTCAGAGTGACCACATTTTTCCTTCATGGTTTATAGCAATCACAACACACCTGCTACTTAAAACTGGTGGATTGGACAACGTTAATGCAATAATTCCTAAAGAGTACAGAAAGCTCACAAAAGAATGTTGAAGTATCCGATGTTATGTATATTTTACATAGTGGTAGAAAAGAAAAATTCAGAAAGGTTAAAACATGTATCTTTATATTTTCCATGATTATGAAATTCTAATTTTTCTTCGATATTCTAATCTTACATCTTACAAGAGTAAAATAATACTATGAAAAAGCATCCAAGTTTCTGAAAACTACAGCTATGGTCCCTTTTTTGATAAATATAATGTGAAACCATTAAGCAATGCACTTATTTTATAAATTAATTTTATGTGATTTATCTGACCAGTCAAATGTGTATATAGAATAATTTATTATAACACCTTCAGTCATTTCTGTATTACAGAAATGTCTATTAAGTAATGCAAAGAAGTTGAATGGTTTCTTATTCTCTCTTAGATTCCAAATATAAATTCTTCAAAAGACAGTAGATGGTTTCAGGCCATCAGGAGTCCAGCGTGTGCCTGGGCAGGCGGTAGTGCTCAGGTTTGGAACGCAGCTTCTTTTCCTGTGGGTTGGCATACTTCCACTTGGAGGGTGACATTTTAAGCTTTTTTCTCTTCTTATCTGTGCACCATACTTTTTCACAGTATTCTTCCACTCTCTGGAAGTTGCTATAACCAATCAGCTGCAAGAATTCCTTGTACCATGGTTTTGCTCCCTGCGGGATGCTGCTCTGTGCAGGACAAGGCATTTTGTGAGGCCCATCCTCCTCGTAGTCTTTGTTAAACATTTCTTCAACTCGTTCCTCTTCCACTACCTCCAAAGTGATTTTACGGACAGTATGGACAAAACTATGCTCTACTGTCTGGCAAAAATAGGTCCCAGCATCTGATTTGTGTACCCTTAAGAAGAGTAAACCAAGGTCCATCTTAACCACTCTGTCATCTGTCTTCACCTGCAAGAAAAAGAAAGTAAAGAGCACTGGGATATTATGCAGGAGAGAAAAATGCCAACTTGCGTTTTCCCACTATCTACGTTTTCATTTTTGTTATCGCATAATGAAATCCTAAGATGCTAAGTGATTAAATCAGGTGTGTGTGTGTGTGTGGGGGGGTATTCTGAAGTTATTTACATTGGATACCACTTCATATCAATCTTGAGGTCTTGTTGTATCAAAGATCAAAGTAAGAAAGCTTTTCCCCGAATGATTCCATTAGTCATTAGAAAAAGCATGTTTCAGTATTGCACTAAAAGTTTAGAATGAAATGAAGATTTGTCAAACTCATTTTTAACATCTGTTTTTCAATGGACAAATCAAATACCATTTCCCACATTCTTTCAGGGATTCTTATGCCTTCTAGATCATAGTAGCTGATGCTTTTATAAGGACTTTTTGTTTAGAGAGCTAGGCTACATTCACTCTCTTCCCTTAAGAAAAAAATTCAGTTAATTCTATGAGGTATTAAATTTCTACAAGGTTTTCTATTAACAGATTAGAACAAGATCTGATTTTTACTTTATTTTTAAAGGATGAAACAGTCCAGCAAATATTAAGTTTTAATATACTCTCAATGCTCAAATACCTTTTATGTTTTTAATATAATTATGTACATTATATAAATCAGGGAAAGAACACAACAAGGCTTTCATTGAATAGCTCACATTTAATCAAAAATAATTAGTAAATCGTTTGACAGTAGGCAAAGCTAGATTCAAATATGGGCAACACAATTTATTGTCACCTAAGGTATTTATATATGTATTTTTTGCCTTAGTTTTCATAAAAGTGGAGATAATCCTAAGCATCAAATAAAATAACATAGGTGAGGATATTTTGCACAGTATTATCAACAGTTACCTCTTTTTTCGATACATTCCTCCAACTAAAAACATGTGTTTTATGTGGCCTAGGATCTTAAGATTATGGCATAAAGGTGATTCACATCATACTGGAAGACTTCCCCTTTGAGAATACGAAAATGAAAGCAATATTCACCTTTGTCAATATAAAAGAAGTGTAGAGGCAACAATTATACCCACATTGGCAATAAAGTCTATTTATGCTAAACATGTTTTTGTCCCAGTAGTAGGTCCTGGTGACTCGGGTCTTCCCAGCCCTGATCAGACCTGGCATAATTGAATTGGCAATGTGATTACTCGGATGTGAAAACTGGTATCCACACACTACAATTTGTGGATAATATGGGGAAAATGGCATTGATGGTGTAGTGAAAAATAGGGATATTATTTTAAAGTTGTGAGGTTTCCAAAAGGCATTTTGTTTTCAGCCAGGTGAAATAAATAGATTACTTCAAAGCTTCAGAGTGACATAGTTGGGGAGACAAAAGAGAGTGCCTAAGTCCTTCAGAGGTGCTTCCCTTGACTTAGCAGAAACACAGAGCAGAATTCTGTAGCCATTAATTCAAGAACTTATCCAGTGAGAAACCAGGAAGACCCACAAACCAAAAACCATCTTCACTCCATAGAAACAATCTGTTCTATTAATAGCTTTTGCCCAGAATATCCTTAGCACCTGTCACAACCAACTAAAAGTCTGTGTCCCGCTGCTCATTTTACCACACCTCTAAGCCAAAACCTCTGTGAAAACTGTTCATCACCACCAGCCTTCTCCATAAATTTACCATCTGCAACCTGTAACCACAGCATGCCTCTAGTGCTGCTGACTCTGAAGCACAGCCTCCATTTATTAAAATTTGTGGCTACATTGGATATAGGTGCTAAGTGTCTCTCTCAACATCATTTTTTGTATGTGTGTGGTAAGTGCCATTATACTGTCCTGGTTCTCTCCTTTATTTCCTTTTTGGCTTCTTCTACAGATCTCTTGTACCCTCCACAATCCTCCATCCTTCACTGATCTTATATTTTATTTCCATCCTTTCAGTAATGCTTCTATTTCTTTCAGTTACCTTCCCTAAGGATTACACACAGGAAACACACAACAATGGATTATCTATCAATTAAGAAACACCAAAACTTTGTGATCCTTTAATACCTACAATCAGTGTCTTTCCATTAGAACTGACCCACTATTTACTACCCTATTTCTGACAATTACATTTATCCTTTTAGTCCCCCATCCTCAAGTGTCAATCATTTATACATCTCTCTTTATATCCTCACATCCAATATGTCACAAATTCCTATCAACATTTCTCCAGTGGTAACCCTCACAAACAACCCTTTCTCTTTGCCACTTTTGCCACAATTTTAGGTTCTTCTATCTCATGACTGTTCCTTTGACCTTATCTCATGGCAGACTGCCCTAAATCTTTTCTTTCATGCCCAGCTTGATTCTGTTTCAGGATCTCTACTCTTGTCTCTGCCCATAGAGACTTCCCTAAAGCTGATTATTTTTTTTATTCTGAACAACTCAATTATTAATACATGTCACCTTTTCAAATAGGCCTCCCTCATACCACTGCAAAAGTGTCCTCCCTCTCTTATTGCCATCATTTCACCTGTTAACCTTTATATATCTGAGCATGCAACATTGCATACAAATACATAACAATCCCTCAATTTTCTTGAGGGATTTTTTTTCCCCATTTATTTCAACAAATGGGTGCTAATTTACTCTTAAAGCTCATTTTCTTTTGTCATACTCCTGCTGGAGAACTTATTCAAATCTCTATAGCTTGCCTGAGCATATGAGAATTATCTAATTCACCATATCCCACCTTTCTAAATCTGGGTCCCAGAAAAGCTTAATGTGATGTTTCTCAAAGTAGGGTTTGGTGGAATAGGTGCATTTCTAAAGATCGGTGAGGATTTTTTATGGAAATTTCTTACTGTTTATTATAATCAATATCAATAAACTATATTTGGAATCATATGGAAGATCAAGTTTAGTGTTTGTCATAGATTCTGAACCATTTTCAAAGCCTTAATAGTTTCCAAATGCTAAGAAGAACAAAGATGGATTTAATATGTTAATATGTTCCAGCCAAATAAAAACCAAACAACTTCCCTACATAGTAAAACATATAAAAAGTTTTGAAGTCACTTGAGTAAAGTGTTAAGGGAATTGAGTCATGTAGCATACAGTACTATAGGCAGGAAGTTTTACACACAGCACATACACACGTCAGTCTGTGTTCCATGTTACATTCAAGGAGATGCCTATTTTAGTAAAAACACATTAAACATTTTAATGATACACCATTTTATTTGTAAATTTTAGTTGCATATTTGAATAAAAGCTACAAGCATAAGGAATGTGTGTATTGTATTGTTCATTAAATATGCATAAGATTATTTTAATATTAATCATGCTAGCAGCCCAAGAAGATGTTTCACTTTTAAGAACAGGTGGTTGGGGCAACCTGCTCATTACTAGAATCAATTCTTTCCTAATTCCTTCTGCTCTCAGTATGCTGTATCGCCACCCTATTTTCCACTTCCAGTTCTTATTCTGATCTTATTCTTTTTTTCCCTTCCCTCAGTAAACTCCTTTCTACTATTCAATCCATTTTTTTGTTTCCTTCCAGGCTTAGTTAAATTTTCACTTATAAGTTATAGCCCATAAGGATCTCTGCTGCTTTTTGTAATTCAATAGCATTCACATTTGTAGCACAAAAGTTGTTACTTATATTCCTCTTCAAATTATTTTTCCTGAAAGTATTCTCTTTAAACATATTGTAATTTTAAGGGCAAAGGCCTTTCTCCCTATTCTTCAGAATTATTCCGTAATCAGCAGTACTCAGAACATGGTGAAAAATGAACATATTTGTTCATAGGATACAAACATGTAAAGCAACGGGGTGTACTAGTAGGAATATATTCAAAAGTTATATCTTTTCAGTAAATCCAATAATTTGAATAAGATGGAAGAAAGTATGATTTCAGGAGCAGTTAATAACTGAGGAAAGAGCTCCTTCACAGATATGTAGGAAAAGCAGTTGTAGGACATTGCCTCTACCTAAAAAACAATGCATACAAACAACCTGATTGAATATAATTCTTTGTGTCTCTCCTACATTTCTTGTGAAAGTGAATAATAGATGAAAGTTATCTAGCCAATTTTTTTCATCCAGCAAACAGTTTATCAAAGTGTTCAAAAATAAACATAAATCCTTGACCATTTAGAATTAGGGTTTTTTTGTTTGGTGTTTTTTTTTTGTTGTTGTTTTTTGTTTTTGTCTCTTTATTAAAGTCTGGAATGAAAAAGCAGGTATTTTTTATAACCAGAAACCCAGGCTTGAAAAACACTAAATTATATACAGATAAAGTCCAGACTGGTTCACATTCAAAGATGTGAAAGCATGACACAATTATCATGGGGATTGTCCTACACTGCTCATTTACATGTCAGGGATTGTGCCTTTCTCAGAATTTTGATCTACCCTCGTGAATACAGAAAATCCACATTAGAGTCAGGAATAGAAGCTAATTTAACTCTGTCTGGAGGGCCATATTTTATGTAGGTTAAATATATCCTCCATGGACTATAAATACCTGAAAATATAAAATGACTTAGAAATTTGTATTTGAAGTCTTTCCACAATTTAGTCTTTCTACTTTAGTTAACTTGGGTACCACCACCATCAAATCTTGATTACAGAATTGTTTTAATCCAGCTGTGCTCTTTCTACGTCTGCAGACCAGATTTCCTTGATCAAGAAGATGGTACATAATACATCATTTCTATCAAATATTCTTATAGGCAAACCATACAAATAATTTTTGCCAAAAATGGTTTTAATATTCTTAGCTATAAAGATTGATCCAGTATGTTTTGTAATGTCAAATAAAAAGAAGTAATTGAACAAAACTCTGCACATCTGGTAGCTGGTCAGGAAGAAGCAGTGATTTCCATGTGTACCAACCATATGTTTCCACAATTTTCATAGAAAAGGGACAGATAAGAGCCTTGAATTGGTTAAATTTAGAATATATTTAGTAATAAAACCAGCGTTAGTCAAGAAATAAAGACCA